AATCCAAGAGCCGTATTATTGAAACACTGTACTTACTGAAACAAAACAGTATGTTTAGCTGCATTGACCCAACCAATAGAAGCTGCCAAGTTCTAACAATATGCAAGAAACTAGATACCAAATAATCATACAATAAAATAGGGTTTGATTATAGTGAGGCACACTTTCTTGTAAAAGTCTTACACTTCAAGACACTTCTAAGAACAAATACACTTCTTCCACTTACAATGACTTTTCTATCCCTCAGTTATTTATCCGAAATTTTAACTTATTTCAGATAAAATAAATAATAATAATTACCATTATTTTATCTCATTCCTCTTATCTCTTCCAAAACCCTAGCCGCACAAGCATATGGTGATTTCTTAGTTCTTCCTTTCTCTGGTGGATTGACGATCAAATTTTTCTTCTCTGGTGTCTCTACGGTCGAACTGCTCTTCTCCGTTAGGTTTTAGTTCGGCGTTGACTGTTAAACGACATCGTTATCATCATGTCATGTAAACCATCGTCTTCGTCTTGAAAGATTTAGTTATTGTGTTATAGATCTAAAGTGTTATAGATATGGCTATGTTGGAGAAGCCATTATTTCTTCGATTTATTACTTCTGTTAACAAAGATTTGCTTGAATTTGGTGATTATGTCTCGGTGGACAGCCATTGAATGGAAGTGAATAGTAGTAATATGTGGATGTCACTTGGTGGATGAGTCATGTTAGAAGTCTGATAACTATTTTTTTTTAAATAACGTATTTAAATAATTAAAGCTACGTGTTTTTTTGTCCGTTTGTGGATAAAAATAATGTGGATGTCTTTTGGTGGATACTGTGGATGTCCTCAAATGGCAGTGCTGTAAACAAGCAAGATATGTACTTTTATCCTGCGTAACAATCTCAGCCACACGTTCAAAAAATAACCATCATGACCACACATCTCCAGTACATAAAAAGTAATCTAACGACGATGAAACAATCAATCTTTTTGCATTGCTTCTAATCTGAGCCGTACATTTTCATTAAAAGAAAACTTAATCCAACGGCCATGAAACAATCAATCCTTTTTTCAAATCTTCTAATCTGAGTCGCACATTTTCATTAAACGAAAAGTGAATCCAACGGCCATGAAACAATCCATATTTATTTCGAAACTTCTAGCACATTTTCATTAAACAAAATACGAAAACAACGGCCAAGATGAAGTAGTGAAAACTCGCTGATTTGGTTTTATTATGGGCATTTTAGTCAGATTACATCTCAAAAACAAGAGAAAGTGTATCTAGAAAATAAAATGTCTCAATAAAAAGAAAGTTTAAATAAAGTGTCACATACTGTAATTATTCCAATAAAATACTCCACACTAATATTAGTGGTAAATGATATATAATCTAAAAAGAATCATAATCTTCTAAATAACTATAAATATAATTAAGGACATAGATGCCCATAAAAAAATTTCTATATCGAATAGTGTCCAAGTTTTATTTTGCTATAAGAGTACCATGTGACTATATCAACACAAAAAGGGTGGATTTATGATTGTTTGTCTTCTCTGTATACCCAACGGTATCATGGGATTGGACTTCTCACCTTATTCACATTTTTTTTTTTGTCTTTTTCTGAAAAGGAAACTTCCCATGTCGATCCAAAGTGAGAAACGGACAAAGTTTTTGTTTTTATGTCTTCTTACAAAAGTGGACAAAAATTGTATTGCAGTATTACGCGTCTCCACATACATATTGTTAACGAGAAAAATCCACGGCATTCTAAAGCAAAATATACAGTATTTTGGATAGTGTATCCATCGAGTCTTTGTGTCAGGTTCGTTAGGTTTTATATAGTTTTTAAATAATTAATATTTTATAATTTT